TTTTTTTTCTGATAGACAATAGCAATCAATTGTCGATATATGATTTAGAATCATGAATTTTCATTAATAGTGTTTGTTGATTTCATACGATTCTAAACGACAACAGTATAATCCGTTGTTTACGATGTGTTGAAGATTGTCTGATGTAGATGTTTTATGTTTCATTACTGTATGGCTAATTACCAGTTTGTTTCGATTATTTTCTTGATTAGGGTTTTGAAATGGTTGGTGGCTGTTTTTGCATGAAGTTATCTTGAGCGAAAAAGGGCGGGAACAGTTACCGGAGTGCGAAAATTTCCAATATGAGAGCATTATCTTTCTCAAAACGCATAATATCACCATTTCTTTCACATCCACAAATTGTTCTTAGATCTCTTGGTTTCTGCTCTGATGCGTTTAGATCTTTGCAAAGGGAGGGTGAGCTATCTGCATTTAGATCATGTGATAATTCAAGCAAACTCAATTTCAACTTTCGCGAGATAAAATTTCCTCAGTTGATTCCATACAATAAAGATCAGGTGGAAAATTTTAATATCGAACTTGCTGATCCCAATCTTTGGCCAATTTCTTTCAGCTTGGCTGACAATTTGCATGGGATGGATGCAAGGCAGGAAGTTGCCTCAAATTTAGATGAGGATACATATGATAATGAAAGTTTCAATGGAGATTATATGGTTGGAAACTCATTTGATTTTGATGAGATTGAGGACTTGAAAATGCAAAAGAAGCTGTTTTACAAGCTGGATAGGGGATCTAAAGAATATGAGGAAAGCAATTTTACCTTTCATAAAAAAAAATCTTCCAAGAAACGTCTTGAGAAGCTAAGAAAAACTAAAATGGTGGAGCGATGCAAGAAATCTGAAAATTCTTCTGCTAAACCACAGAAGAAATCTGAAAATTCATCTTCCAAACCATTGGTTTGTGAGGTCCATAATGAGGTTACTTCTGTGGATAAGAAGGTGAGGACTCCTACATTTAACCAGCTTACAGATCCTTATCATTTGCCCTTCTGCTTGGATATCTTTGTAACAAAAGGTTCTGTTCGTGCTTCTGTGATTCATCGGGTTACAAGTAAAGTTGTGGTTGTGGCACACTCCATTTCTAAGGATATGAAATTTGATTTGACTCATAAGAAAGATGCTACAGCTTGTGCTGCTGTAGGAGAAACTTTGGCTCAAAGAGCGAAGGAGGATGATATTCACAATGTGGTGTATACACCAAGGAAAGGCGACAAAATTGAAGGGAAACTTCAAATTGTGCTTCAGTCCATCATTGATCACGGGGTTGATGTAAAGGTGAAACTTAAGCAGAAGAAAGCTATCAAGGTATTATTTCGTCTGCCCTTGTTTTGCTTTTTTGTTGTTTTATCTTATGTATTCATTCAAAGCTTCATTATTTATGTCTTTAATTGTTACTGCAATTACTTGTAAGAAGAGAGATGCTTATTAAACTTAAAAGTATTTTTTCATACAATTCCAGGCACGTTCACTTCAAAATGGAAATAGTATTTGTTCTAGTC